AAAACCCACTTATACTCTTTTATTAATAAAACTAACTCTAAACCCTAACCCTAACCCTAACCCTAAAAAATGTCCCCTAAAAAATTTTAAATTTCCCTAAAAAAATAGAAAAATTTCATTTTAATCTGATTTCATTTTAATCTACCACAGTTAATACTAGAGATGCATCTCTAGTCAATACCGACCAGATAGTTAATATTGAGGTGTCTCAATTGTCAATGTAGCAAATTGACATTCGAGGCACAACATGTATAATAATAATAACGATAATGATAATAATAATAATAATAATAATACTCATTAATGTTTGCTTTTTATATTTTTAGAAAATGATATCTGCTGTAGATCCTCAGTGGTATGGTAAACGTTTCTTAGACTTTATGGTTAAAACTATTAAGCATAGTGATAATGATAATGAAACTGGCAATGATCAAGCCATGGCAGAAAAATCTACATCTATTTCATAGTTTGTTTTCTTTTATCAAAGATTTTTCAGAAAGGACTGTTGACATATACTCCCATAAGCTTTCGTTTTTTCACACAATTATACCATTCGTCTTTATAAATTTCACTCTTTTAATTTATTTTTTAAATAAGAGACGATACCTTCTTTTATACTTCTTTTTATCGAAACACTTTTTTCCCATTTACTCCATCCCTCTCCGCTTAAAACACATTATATAAAGCAGTATGCATTCGTGATAGGTGGATTAAGATTATTAACCGTAGTTACAGTATTTGGCCACATTTATTTTTAACTCAAGTCATTTTTCATACAAAGCATCATACGAACATTCCTTTTTCAACAATATCAAACTGTAGTCATATTTGACTGCTTTCACAATCTTTCAAATTTCAAACTTTAGATCACTCTTTTTTTTTTTTTTTTTTTTTTTTTTTTTCTCTTTATATATACATATATAGTTTTTTCTTTGTAAATTTTTGATGTGCGATGGCTGGTGATGATCAGTCAGTTCGAATTTTAAATTTTTTGATAGTCAGTAATAAGAACTTTAGACATTTTTGTTGAAAGCAATATATTTCATAATATGTACATTCATAATGTGTACATGATTTTCATGTAAGATTGAACTTGACTGGGTCTTACGAAACTCGTCTGGCGTTCAATTTAGTATTTATATCATTTATTCTCCGATCCTTGTATCATAAAATATAATAGATGTATTTTCATTAAATGATATTGAGTAAAATTACGTGGGATTAACTTATTTACATTTTTCTGTGACTCATTTTTCAAATGATCAATAAAATTTGATGGATAAAATCCAACATTTTATTTATTCTCTTCTTTTTTAATATCGGATTTCCCAATTATTTTTAAAATTTGAACCATGCAGAAGGCAACAACAACGACGTTCATCTTTTGCCCAACTTGGTAAGAAAGTACTGCAATGATATTATGATTTTCATAAATAACATAGTTTGATTTTCTTTGTTATAGTCGCAATATGTTACGGCCATCAGTTGATGCCGAAGACGAGCAACTTTACTATCGATGTAGTGCTTGTAGTTATAAACATTTTGCTGAAAAAGATGAATGTCTAGTCCGTTTCAGAGAAGTCAAACCTCCATCAAAGTAAATAAATCTTTACGTATTTTCCAGTGTTTCGGGCTATACTAAATTCCTAAGTCCAAAATATTTCGTTGGGACGAAATAATTTTGCAAAATATATAGTAATTTTACACTTTTTAAAGTTTGAAATATTTCGCCAGCGTGAAATAACTTCACCCGGGCGAAATATTTCGGATTTGCCCGAAATACTGATAATATTTTTTTGTGTAATTTATGAAATATGAGAATAATGGATTGGATGTGACGCGTGACAATTTAGTTACCTTAAAGAAACTTTAGAAACGATCAAATCCGATCCAGCCTTGACACGCTGTATTATCGATTGTATGACGTGTCAAGTCAGGACGGTGGCTGTGGAAATACACGAAAGGATCCCGACAAAAATGAACTTGTAATTTACACCCAATTTTTTCTTTAATGAATATTATTCTTAAATTCGGGTATCTAATTTTCATTGAATTTTAGAATATACGTGTGCGAAGAGTGTAAAACGATTCAATACCCATCACGTTTAATTAAGGCTATGATTTCCAATAAAGATGTGTTTAAGAGTATTGAAAATATGAATGAGGACGATAATCTTGAGCAAGAAACAGATCTTGTCTCTCAGGATCAAGAAGAAAGTACCACTGGTTGGGATGAGTTCGTGTATTCGGAATCACAAAATTTTTGATTGCATGAAGCAATGAATGATAGATCCAATTTTTATAATAATAGTAATTATGCATTTGTTCGCCGAAATGAGCAACAATATTTAACCAGAGTTCTTTCCAAATTAGACAAAGCGTTGCAGACATTCGATCATATCATGAATTCTTATATGTAGCATCCTATGATGATGTATTATTTCGAAAATAGTCGATATCCGATAGCGAAAACTTGATATTTCAACCAACCATCTTACGTATCACTTCATGTGCATAATCAAACACAATACAAAAAAAAAATTTTTCTTTAACTCAAACATACACGAACAACGAAACGGTTGTAGTTTTACAAGTATGTACCGTATTTAATGCTCACGAGTGTAATCATATAAGTTGCTGTACGTAAATCTTTATTATTTTCCAAATCCACAAAAAAGTTCGCCCGTTATAACCTAGAATGTTTCTTGACATATACACACCTCTCAACCAATTTCTTTTCTACATAATAAAATTAAATCAGCTTTTTACTGACTTATGGTGTAAAATCTTTGTAGACTGTGTCCTCGTCTACTGTCTTTCTTAGTTTTATGTTAAACCTTGTAGTAATTTTGGGTTTCCATTTATACTTGTCGCGCTTTTCTTCCCCTTTTTTTTCTTTTTTTTTTTTTTTCTTTTACGCATTTGTATGGTTTTCTCCGTTTATATTTTTACTTGGAAAACAGTTGTAAAATATCTCACAAAACAAAATCAAAACTGGTATTCGGCCTCACTTTTTTTTTGTTCCTGCATCGTTCTTGTAAGCCTGTTATTATACAATATTATTTGAGTAGGTCATTTTGGCTGTTATTTACAATAGGTAAACTCGCGTTTGATTATGGTTCTTTGACTCTTATTTGTTCCCCAGTTGATTTTTTTTTTCTCTTTATCGTCACGAAAAATTCTTCGACCTTTAAGATAAAGGGAAAGAAATTTTCATTTATTAAAAATTCATCTGTATATAATGACAATCAAGGGCAGACAACTATTTGTTGGCAACGTGAGTGTTGTTGAATATTTATATTAAGTGATCAAAATTATGAATACTTACATTACAAATATATTTAATATTTCATGGAACGAATTACGAAATGCTATTGATTGATTGTTTATGTGCATCACAAAGCTCCCATTTGTAGGTTAGTAAATATTTATTACGCGGACTAATGAATTTCATTGATATTAATAATTTTACTTGTTTCTGATTATTATTTTTTATGATTTTGTTACTATCACGAACGTAAAGTGGGTTGGCAAGATTTAAAGGCAAATATCTATTCAAAAGAATTTTCTCTAGCATGTGGAATTATAATGTCACACATTAATTGTTTCGGATAATTTTTTTTACAGGATTTATTTAGATCGGCTGGAAATGTGCAACGTGCAAACATCATGCAAGGCCGCGACGGTCGGTCAAAAGGACATGGTATTGTGCTCTATGCAACTGTAGCTGATGCGAAAAATGCAATTTGTATGATATTTTTCTTATGAAATGATATTAAAATGTGAAATTTGTGGCATATTATAAATGTGATAAAAGTAGTTGAAATTATGTCATCTTATTAATTATTTTATTTTTATTAATTTTTATTTGTGAAAATATGTTTTAGCAACATTTGACGGTTATGAATGGCATGGAAGAAGATTAGAAGTTAGAGAGGTATGTAATTTAATTGTTCCTTTTTATTATGTTGTAAACATCTATTCTGACTTTTTGATCAGGATCGTAGTGCAATGGACTTTCCTCCACCTCCTCCAAGAACTGAGGGAGCAAATACTATAAATCAGTCGGAGGCATTATATCCATTTTCTTTACATATAAGTGGATGTATGATGATTCAAAGTTTAATATTTATTAAATTGATTTCATAAAGCTAGAAAATGAGAAAATTAGTGTGTCAAATGGTCGATCAGCATCTGTAACTTCAAATGAGATCAATGGAACCACGTCATCAACGCAAACGTCGTCTTCTCCAGTAGATTATCCTAATGAAAATATTACTTTGAATGGTATATCTAATAATATTAATAACGGTACCACGTATACTGACGAATCTACGATCAACAATACGACTACTGGAACAAATGGGTTGAATAATTCAAACACGAATTTACAAAGGCAACAACTTTTTGTTGGCAACGTATGTATTATTTCTTTTTTTCGCTAAAATCATAAATTATAAAATCGATACATATTTTCATACTAACATTTTGATTCATTTTTTAGTTACCGTTTCGTGTACGATGGCAAGATTTGAAGGACCTATTTCGAAAGGCGGGGACAGTGTTACGTGCAGATGTGGCAATGGGTTATGACAATCGATCTAAAGGTCATGGAACTGTTTTATTCGGAAGTTTGGAAGACGCAAAAAATGCAATCGGTAATTAAAATTAGAATTGCTATACTAAATATTATTCGAGATGTATTAATCTTTTTAAATTGTTTACGTAGCAATATTTAATCATTACAATTGGCAAGGCCGTAGCCTTGAAGTACGTGAAGACCGAGGCTTTGTAGATTCAAACAACGTCAATAATCAGAATAATAGTAATAATCTAAACCCTCAGCAAGCTTCTCAGGAGACTCGCCGGACTGTTGATCCAGTACCAACACATAACCATACACAGGCTCCTTATGTACCAAATGCACCGATGGTTTGTCCGGCAGGAATTTTCTTTGTAAGTACAAACTTGACTCTTAAGTGCATTATTACTTTTTATTCATGAGGATATTTTGCAGCCTACCAGAGGAATCCAAGTACCGCAACAAAACTTTGCTGGGAGATTACTTTTTGTCGGAAATGTAAGTTTAAAAGTTTTTTAATGCTATTTTCACATAAATATATTGTTATGACATTTATTTAAAAACTTTGTAGTTGCCTTTTAATTGTCAATGGCAAGATTTAAAAGATCTCTTTCGAAACGCTGGGAATATTATTCGTGCTGATGTTTCAACAAATTATGATGGGCGAAGTCGAGGTTTTGGAACTGTGTTGTTTGCAACACCCGAGGATGCTAGAAATGCTGTTGGTGAATATATATATAATTTTTAACTTTATTTTTTTAATATGTAAATTGATTTATGTTACGCTCATATTTATAGGAATGTACAATGGTTATGAATTCCAAGGAAGAACGTTACGCGTTCATTTTGATAAATTTTCATTACCTCCCTTGCCACCTCATCATCATCATAATCCACATCCTCATCCAGTGCATTTACCACCTCCTGTACACCCACACCATCGACCACCGCCAACTTTGATACCAAGCATTGCACATCATAATTTTCATATGGGTCCCCCACCACCAATTCCACATCCACATTTTATTCCTCCAACGCATATGGGACCTTTTTCACCGCCATTGGCAACACCACCTCTAACCAGTCCACCACCTTTTACCAGTCCACCACCTTTTACCACCACATATAATCCATTGGCACATATTAACAACCAACCAAATACAAATTCAAATAGTTTTGCACCATTTCATCCAATTCCTATTCATCACAGTATGGGGGCAACTTCTCAGCAATCATCATCTAGTCAACCTCAAGGCATGTCACAAGATCAGGCGACCACGACCGCGACCACCGCTTCTCAATTTAATGGTTTTGGCCCGATTGGAAAGAATAACCATTCACCACAACCAACTACATCATCGTCAATATCGAATTTAGGAGCTATAGGTTTCCCTGGAACTTCAAATACGGCAAATGGAATAGTTGTCACAAATGGAACTGATAATAATTATGGGACCGGGAATGATAATGTTATTCATAATATAACATCTTCATTTGCTAATTTACATATTAATCCGACCCCTCAACAATTATTTTTCCATCCACCGCATCATCCACATCATCGTCCACGGCTGACCTATCCATGGGGTATGTCACCCGAATTCAAAGAAGAAAAGTTTGTGAAGTTTCAGCCCATTTAACAAAATCTAAACCTCTTGCACTGATTTTAAAAGAAATATTTTGCGTGAAAAATATTATATTGCGAACATTTGATATTATAGATCGTAAAGATGATATTAACATTGAAACCTTTCTCGATAATTCTGATGAAGAGGGATATCGCACACCTCCTATAAAGATTACGCCCAACACATTTATAACCCCAATTACAGAGCGCACCAAAGATGTGGTTAATGGGAAAAATTGTAAGAAAGATTAACATGTACTTTGCTAGTTTTTTTAATAAATGTGTATTACGATTTATCCATTACACGATATACATCAGACAAATAACAATAGAAATAAACGTACAAAAATTCCATTGATGACAAATGTTGTAGATCAGTAAAAATTAGTGTTTCGATCCGTAATCCGACAATTTGAATTAGTGTTCCGCAAAAAAGATCCAAATGGATCCGGAATTTTTAATGGGTATTAAAGTAGCATTTTACAAAGGATACTCGAACTAAAACTGTACATATAA